CCTGCCTTTCCTTTAAAGTCCTGAAGGCAGACACACCTTAAAACCTAGTCTGTCTCGTATCATCCATCTATCATCTATCTCTGTATCTATCTGTGTGTCTGTGTATCTGTGTATCTGTCTATCATCTATCTATCTATCTATCTATCTATCTATCTATCTATCTATCTATCTATCTATCTATCATCTATCTATCTATCATCTATCATCTATCTATCATCTATCTATCTATCATCTATATCATCATCTATCAATCATCTATGTATCTGAAAAATAAGAGACTAGAAAATTCATTTGAGATCCCTCTCCCTCCAGAAACCACAAGGCTTGGTCACAACTTTCATTCCCTCTTGGCCTTCATGTTTCAGCACTTCTAAGGAGGTTACATAATGACAATAAATTGTGCTGGCAGGGCCTTCCCCAGAGTTCATACAGCAAGTTTCAAAAGTCTTCCTTATTAAAGAGCCCGTTGTGTTTTTTATCGAAGTCATCTTCTGAAGAGGCAGCTTTATGTTAATGTTTTGCTGATGCGGGGGTTGGGGTGGGGGTGGGGAATCACTAAGTTAAAAAGCTCTTAAAAGTACCTGATGCTTGAATCCCCCAGGAGGGTGAATTAGATCTGAGCACATCATCTTCGTGGGTGTATAAGTTGAGATACCCAGAACTGAAAAGATTTGCCCCAGATGACATATTTTAAAATGAGCCCAGAACTAGAACCCAGTTCCCCCTCAGATGAATTGTAGAAGTTTTACAGACTGAACATCAGCTCCAAAGCTTGAAGGATTCTCTTTTCTGTGTCACTTTCTCCCAATAAAAAGAATGCTGTCATTTCACCTTACCAAAATACTGAAAATGTTTCTGGCAGAGGAAATCCAAGTACACTTTTCACCAACAAAACATATGTGTGCCTAATGTTACAAGTGATGCAACTAATTTACATATATGAAAACCACATTTGTAAAAAATCACCATGGCTAATACCAAAAGCAGAGCTAATCCTCCCTTCTACCCCAAGGCCTTATAGTATTAAAAATATAATTGTATGGAAATATAGAAATCCTCTCCCCAACAAGAAACAATGTACTTAAGAAATCTCATCATAACTCGTTTGGGGGAATTTTTCTAAGAATTGAAATCTCTAGTGACTAAGCCTCATTTCCAAACACACTGTGAGTTGTTGGCTTATTTAAAGTAATTCTTATTATAGTTATTTCCCAAGTGAAGAGAATGGAAACACATTGTCTTGCTCAAGGGAACTTTTTAATCCATCAACATGAGACAAACCGTAGCTCAGTTTCCAGCTTTGCAACCAAATTGTTTGAGTTTGACAAGTTGTTTAAAACTCTCTGAGTTAGAGTGTGTTACCCTTTACTTGTAAAAGTGACTATATTGCAGTTACTTTAAGGATAAAATGTAATGCATGCATTTTCTAGATCACTGTCTAGACCTTGGTTAGAGTAAGTTCTTTAACTGTCAATCATGCATTTATTTGAGGCCCTCCTTTGTGCCCAGCACTGAACTCAGCAAAATTGGGAATATCAGGACATTTTCAGATACACTCCCTGTTCTCAGTGCCCTTGTCTCTTACACAAGAGGCTGTGCCTTTCATTTTGTGGTTACCATCCACATTCTGGCGTCAGGAATCTCACCTGAAGTGCTGCAGCTGACTTCCAGCTAGGCTCTTGAACCCTAACCTCTTGCTTTTCCAGTCCTTTTTTGTCAACACCTGTCTTCCCAAGCTGCTCCCTGCTATTGGACTGACCTAATACCTTCCAACCATGGTTTTGATTTCCCTGTCTCCCCTCTCAGACCAGGCCAAGGCAGTCCGTTTATGGTCATGCTACATATATTTTTACACTGTTGATCTGACCTAGCTCTTTTCTCAGCAATTTAGCCAAATGTTTTGACTGGAAGTCATTTTGAAGCGGTGTGATGTAATGGTTAAGTGGGTGCCTCGGGTGCAAAGACAGATCCTACACTTACCGGGGCTGTGATATTGTGCAACTTCCTTCACTGTGCACGAGGTCTCCAGCTGTTCAGTGACTGCTGTGAGAGTGCATCCCATCTAACTGTGGCGAGGCGGAGAAGACTCAAGGTGCCAAAACCCTTAGCACTAGTCCCATGTGTAATTACCTGCCACAGCAAACAGATATGACATAATGAATGTTAGCTATTTTAGGAGAGTCATTATTAGGTTTTGATGTACCGAGATATACAAATGCCTTAAGAAATTGTTACTGTTTGTTCAATATCATATGCAGTGGACATCCCCACGCCTTGGCCTCCTTCCTGCTGCACTTTGAGCAGCTTGTCCTGAAGCCCAGGGATGGGTGAAGCTTAGGGATGGAGAAGGAGCGCTGATCAGCTGAGTATGTGGACATTTACTGGCATTGAAAAGGAGCTGAAAAGTTTAATGGTTTGCTTTTCAGGCCGTGTCCACTTGTCCCGTGTTAAAACAGCTCTGTCAAAATCTCAAGTGCCGTCCACATTAGCAGCCTCGCAGCGCGGTTGGGATTAGGCCTGCTGCTGTCAGCTGGGCATCCCCTTTGCCCGGAAGCGGCCCTGGGTACCCACATGCTCCTGGCAGCCCACTCTCCTTACCCTCCCCTACCTGGGCTTTGCTAGCAGTCCGATGAGACCTCTGCCTCGTTTCCTAACCTGCAGTCAGCTCCCCGTCCAGCACTCCAGTCCTCCCTGGACCTCACCCCGTTTGACCTGGGCTCTGCCTCACCATTGCCAGGTCTTTTCTCTGAGGTCTGGACCCTGTGCCCCAATCCTTTAGTCACTGTGTTTCTTTCCAGATGGCACTCACCAGTATAGTATTCCCTGCCTGAAAGTTTTGTCATTGTTTGACCTCTCTGAATGCCCTGCTGCATTCCCCAGACTGAGGCCTCAGGGATTTCAGCACAGAAAGTGTTGACTCCCCAGAAGCAATGAGGACTCTTCAATGTTGATGGGATTAATGGTCACCGTTTCCCCACACCCAACACAAGGACCAGCCATAAAGCAAGACCAGGGCCCCTAACCCTGGCTGCATTGAATCCCAGTCTTTTTTCCACCCCCAGAAACTTCCTGTGGTCCCAGGATAACCAGGTTATTCACAGATCTCACACACCTCAGTGTTATTGTCCTAAAATACAACTCCAGTCGTGCTGGTTCTCATCAGGAACTCTGTTATTGCCTAGAACCTATAGAAGAAAAACCAGCTCCCATAGCCTTCCAGCACTCCAGGCTCATCTCCCAATGCCACCATTCCCATCCTGTGCTTTGGCTAAACCTACAGGGAGTCCTCAGACCTCCGTGTATCTGCTCTGCTATTTCTGCTGCTCAGTTTACACTCTCACCCCTCACCCTAAATTCCCGTTTTCGCATAAAAAGCCAATTCATACTTTTATGCTCCAATGGCATCTCCTTCATGGAATTTCTCCAGTCCTCTCAATGAAAACCGATAGCTCCTCAGACACCCATTTCATTTGACCTGATACTGTGGCAGTTACAAAAGTGACCATCTCCTATGATTATAAATTCCTTGAGCATAGGGACCTGGCCCTCCGGAGGTGCACATTCCCCGCCTGCGGAATGCGGGTGGTCCAATCCAGTACGGTCACTATTTATTCTGTAGCTCTAATTGTTTCAGTTTGGGGTCTGAGGAGCTTTTTCAGGTTGGCTCCTTGATGTTTCAACATGACCCCATCATTTTTTGAGCAATTCCTTATTTTCCACAATATATTCCACTCTTCTTGTGTTTTTCTCTGCCTCGTCCCTGAAATCAATGCCTTCTCCAAGGACAGTTGGTTTATTTTATTGTAAAACAGTATTTAGAAATACTGAGACCTGGGTGCCCGTACAAGGACAGGGAGCCAGCCTGGGAAGTTACAGTATCAGAAATCTTGTTCAGAGTGCCAGAGAAGATTTTTCAGCAAAATCACATTTAAGGTGACCTTTGAGGAAAAGTGTTATTGGACGAAATGCAGTAGGAATAAGAGTTTCCCACAAAGAGAAGAGATTTACTGTGAAGGCCCCTAGACGTGTGAGGAGTTGAAGGGTTAGTAAAACAGAAGAATTTATTTTTAATTATTTTTTTGAGATAACATTGGTTAATAACCTATACATTTCAGGTGTACCACAGTATAATTTGGTATCTTTAGACTCTGTTGCGTGCTTACGGCCAAAAGTCTAGTTTCCATCTGTCACCATTTGTTGTCCGTATCTATGAGTTTGTTTTTGTTTTGTTATGTTTGTTCACTTGTTACTCTCTTGTTTTATGTTTCACATATGAGTGGAATCAGACTGTTTTTGTCTTTGTCTGTCTGACTTATTTCACTTAACATCGTACACTTAAGCTCTATCCATGTTATCACAAATGACAATATTCTATCTTTTTTTATGGCTGAGCAGGATTCCACTATATATATCACCTCTTCTTTATCCATTCCTTCGTTGGTGGACACCTAAGGTTGCTTCCCTATTCTCCCTATTGTAAATAACCCTGCAGTGAGCATTGGGGTGCATAAGTCTTTTTGAATCAGTATTGCCATGTTCTTCAGATAAATACCCAGAAGAGGAATTGCTGGATCATATGGTAGCTCTATTTTCATTTTTTTTAGGAACTTCAGTACTGTTTCGAGAGAGTGGAAGGGAAGCATCTACCTACCGGGGCTGGAGAGTCAGGGCAGGTTTCCCTTCCTATGGAAGGGTAGCTTGCAGCAAGTGTGGAGGAATTGAACAGCCTCCGTGTTCTTGGGAAAGGCCTGTGACAGGGCTCAGCACAAACATCTGCAGGGTTTGGCATTTCACAGCTAACCAGATTTTGCATATCTGTTACATCGTTCATCACTGAATTAGCCTAATTCATTCACTAATCATTTAATGAGAACTGTGTGGTTTCCCTTCAAGATGTGAAAGACCTGGGGGGTACTGAGTGAGTTGCCCAAAGTAAAACAGTAAAAAACCCCAAAATGATACAGTAAGGAACTTATTTAAAATGAAATATTTTCTCCTAGGTTTTTTCCAGCAAGTAATTTTTTACACGGCTGAATTCAGACACCTGCCGATGATAAAACTGTGGCTGGGCCCCGTGCCAGTCATCGCCATGTTCAAAGCAGAAACTGTGGAGGTGAGTCTGTGGTGAAAATCACCAGGGTTCCAGTGCATATCTGATGCTGTGAGGGTCTCATCAGAACACATACAGTGACTGTGTCCTTATATTTAATAGAATTCAACACACTGAGCATTCCATTAAATATCCTAGGCTGCGTAGGTGCCATTTAATGCTTTCCAGAGATAAGCCTGAATTCTGGGAAAAGGAGCAGCCTCTACATGTCTATACGCATTTGTTACCAAGAAACATGTTTGTCTTCCTTTTTTGGAAAGTCTGCAGAAGGATATAGTTTAATAGAACCATAAATAAATTATTCCATAAGGTGAGCTCACATTATCTGCCAGGCACTGTTTTAAAGTTCCAAAAATATAAGACTAATAAAAATGTGAGTGTTTCCCTCAATATGCTCAGAGTCTCATATTATATCCATTATACTTTTATTATTCCAAGTTAATGTTCCTAAAAGAGAATACTAATCTGATATTGATAGGGCTGATATTGTTAATCCATTGAAATTACTCCTCAAAAAACTTGTTTACCTTTCACTTATTATGGTGACATTGGGGAAATTGTCTTGTGGTTTGATGATGAAGGATTTGGTTCAGGGAGTAAAAATGGGATAAATGGACCTTCCCTTTTTCTTTTCTTTTTTTCAAGAGGATATTAAATCGTTTATTGATTACACATGATAATGGATGATACACAAGCTTCATACCCATCTATAATTTTATCTGGTGCCATAACTCAATTTAGATATATTGCATAGGATGTGCCAGCAATCATTAATAACCAAATAAACTCCCTGACTGTGCTTAGGTGACCCTTTTAATGGTGAACTCCAGGCCACAACACAGAAACCGTCAATTCAACTACACCAAGGTTTCTGAAGACAATGAGTTCTGTGCCTAAGCAGGTTGTAAATACATTTCAAATGGAACCTGGCATCACTCTGAAGGAATTCTAACTTCACCCTGTTGGGGTAATTTACCAAGATGGCTTCAGAGCAGACTAACTTTACACAGAACATTTAAAAAAAGACACACCTATTCAGCCTCATGATCAGACTATCACATTTAGCAATCAACAGCCTGGGTGCAAAAAAAAAAAATCTACATTAAAACACTTTGTTGGAATGCTTTCCACTTTCCACAGAACAGAAACTAAACCTGTTATACAATTAGTCACAGATACAGTCCTCGAGTTTTTTTGCCCCTTCACATGAGTGTTGTGTAAAACATGTCTTCTTTTTAGCAGCGAGGCCCTGCCACCGCTGTGCTTGGCCGAGTTCACACATCTCTTGTAACCTGCAGCTTCCCTGTCACTTCCCTGGCTCTCCTCTCCTGCTAAGCTTGGTTTCCTGGCAGTAATTCAAACCTCCTCCCACAGCCATAGCTACTGCTGCTGCTGGAACTGCCAGGGTCACCTTGGTTTCGTGGTTTGGCAAAGTATTGACCTCCACCACCTAGGGAGGGGCCAGAGCTTCTGCCTCCAAAGTTTCCTCCTTTCATAGGTCCAAAATTTGTCATTGCCAAAGTCATTGTATCTTCCGCCACCTCCAAAATTGCTTCCACCACCGCAGCGAAAGCCGCCTCCGCCTACTCCGTTGTTATAGCTGTCACAGCCGCCCTGGCTTCCATAACCCTGTCCCCCACTCCCACAGCCTCTGCCTCCTCCAGAGTAACCAGGGCCTCCTCCCTAACCACCACTGTTACGAAATCCAACAGACCGTCTCTTCATGGAACAAAATTAAAAGCAGAATTTCCTAGGGAATTGACCTGGGATATTTCTTTCTTAGTTATTGTGGGAAAACTGTTAGTGTGTCTCTGGCACCACACTGCAGAATCTACTGGTTCAGAGGAAATAGTGAGAGGGCCACACACAGGATCTCAGCCACTGCTGACTTAGTGTTAGTGGCCTTGGCCTTTGCGGATGGAGGTCTGTCCATAGTAGGGAACTGCAGCCAGAAGCTTGGGAATCACTTTGCGCTGAGTCCTATAAGCTCATTCCTTCTGTTTCACTTTGACTCCAGGTGACCCAGTTATGCCCATGGTTCCCAATGGTATCTATACCCTGGAGACACTCACATGTGTTCCCTTAGTATAGCCTTAATCCTGAACTTCAGACCTGCTCTCAGACTGTGGCCACTTGAATGCTTCCAAAGCAACATGCCTGAGAATGAACTTGTGATTTCCATCTCCTTCGACGTGGTCATCCTTAGATTCACCTGCCTCTTCCCTCACTCCCACCCTCCATAAATGACTCCACTTGGTTCCTCATCCATGGCAGGAACCAGAGAAGCATCTTAGACATTTTCCTTCCTGTCATCTCCATCTAGTCTCCAAGACTGCGTGACAGTTATATGCTCAAAACTCTAATTGGATTTCTGTGAGTCACAGGAATGAAAATGAATCACAGAGAAGTAATTGTTTATATGAAATGATACTTTAGAATTTAGTTGTGTTCTAGCCAAGTATTCTTATAATTAAGATTGTTTTCATATCTCTATCTCTGTTATTCTTTTCTCTCTTCCTAAGCCAATCTTATCTAGTTCAAAGCAACTTGATAAATCCTATCTGTACACGTTCCTAGAACCATGGCTTGGCCTGGGACTTCTTACAAGGTATGTCAGTGGAAATCTGAAAAGCTGTCTTGTGTGTAACTTATGTCCGGCATTGACAGGAGGCAGTTTTCCTATAGCAAGAATGTGCTGTCAGGTAGTGGGGAGAAGCTAGAAGGAAAGGGTGGGTGATAGTGAGCCTTTGACAGACAGGAATCCAGGGTGTATAGTAATCTCCAGCCAAGGTTTCAACAATAATGATCGCCAGTGTTCCAAGAAAAGTTAGAAAGTCCTGATGTAAATCACAGGGAGTTTTGATCAGGGAAATCTTGAAAATTCAAGGAAAAAGGCAGTCATCCTCAGAGAGGTAAATGGAGCACAGGAACCTCAATCCTTGAGCTGCCATCCAGAAATAGGACTCCAGCAACTGAGAAAGAGAAGGCAGGACCTTGGTGGGGACTTTGGAGAATTCAAAGATGATAGAGATCCAAGTAGACTCATGGAGCTCATTGATCTTCAGAGGGTTAAAGCTTAATAGAGGGGGAAAAATTCTAATTTTTGGAAACTCAGAACTTAGGAATTTAGAAAACTTCTTAAATTTTTCAATTTTTATGAATGCTCCTTTAAATATTAGTAATATAGAAGGATATCTAAAATATGCCCATTCTGTAACTGTCTATGAATCTGCCCTTGTCATTCTGAACAGAGTATTTGAGAATCTGTAGATTAAGCTGTTTCAGAAGAATTTTGTCTTGACTACTTTATTTGCTTTGACTGCCGCTTTTTCTCCTATTTGTAACCATGTGTTGTATTTCTAGTACTGGAAACAAATGGCGCTCCAGGAGGAAAATGTTAACACCCACCTTCCATTTTACAATTCTGGAAAATTTCTTAGATATCATGAATGAGCAAGCAAATATATTGGTTCATAAGCTTGAAAAACATGTCAACGGAGAAGCATTTAACTGCTTCTTTTACATCACTCTTTGTGCCTTAGATATAATCTGTGGTAAGTCTGATTGATTTGTTTCCAGAGCTATGGTGTAAACATAAAATGGCCCAAATAGGAAGTAACATTTGGCTGGGAAGGCAAATGAAGGGATCGGAATGGATATTGGCTTCTTCGGGGGCGGGCCTACTGCGGAATTGGCATCCTGAGCAGCAGCGGCCACTGCTGAGGCCTTGAGCCGTGTGCCAGGAAGGTCAGAGGGAAGAGCAGGAACAGGGGCAGGCGAAACAAAGGTACAAGAGTGAAGAGGGGAAAGGAACAGTTCCAAAATGTAGAAGAGTTTATGTCTTTTTTCAAGTGTTTGCCATTGGAAAATAAACACAAGGCATGTGCATGAAGTGAATGGTTGCTTCTCGCTTGTATTTTGCAGAAACAGCTATGGGCAAGAGTATTGATGCTCAGACTAATGATGATTCCGAGTATGTCCGTGCAGTTTATAGGTAAATGGAGTCCTTGTAATTATTTTTAAAATTGTTATTGATTCGGGCTTTAGAAAATGTCGCTAATAATTTTTTTGGTCTGTGTTGTATCTTTTTTCATTGTTTCAAAATGAAACATTACACTAAAAATCAACCTGATCATTTAGGCATGTATTTTAACAGTAGAGGAAACATTGTATAAATTATGGCACACCAGATTATGTAATAATTTCAAATGATTATTTTATAATATATTGAGAGATTACATTATGATGCTTAGTGATAAAAGAAAGATAAAAGCAATTTTTTTAGCATGGCAACCTCTAGGTATAAAAAAATTATTCATTGAAAAAAACCCTTTTAGATACTATACCAGAATGTTAGCTATGATTATTGTTTTACTTTATGTGCTTTTCTTATTTTTTTTTTTGTTGTTGTTATTCTTTTCCCCTATATTTTCTACACTGAGTATGTATTATTTTTTAAATGAAGTAATCATTTTTACTTTTAAAAAATTGCTTGAGGTTATCCAGCTACTAAAAGGCAGGGCCAGGGTTTGACTTGATGTATTGTATCGTTAAGCCCACTGCTCGTTTCACTTCATTTTAACAAGTATTTATTTAGCACATATACCCTGCCATTCATTGCACAAGGTACTGACTAGTTTTACAGTGGCCCAGAGAACAGAATAACAGGGGGATAAGCATCGAAACAAATAAATATAAACTCGTAAATTATAATAATTGCTTCGAAAGAAAAAGTAAAGTTGATACTCTAGAAGAAAACAGCAATAGGGCCCACAGGTTGAGTGACTGGGAAAGGCCTTCTGCGGAATTGGCCTCTAAGCCAGTCTCAGGGAAGGAGATCGGGTCCAGGCCTTTCTGCTCCATTGCTGGAAATGCTGAGGGAGGGACTCGGGACAGTGCTGCGGCAGATGGGTCTTCAATGAGCACTTTTCTGTAGAGGAGGACAGCCAGTTGTTCCTGTCGCTCCAGAGGATGGTCAAGCCCATGAGTGGACACTAAACAGGCAGATTTTGACCCGGCCTGCGGTGCAAGAGCTGCAGGCAGCCTGGGGAGGTCCGGAACTCTTCCTGGAGAAACAGCAGCAGAGATCAGATGGCCCTCTAGTAAGGATGCTTTGTGATGGAGTCTTCATTCCTAAAGATCCATTCCATTTTTACACTTCCTTGGAAGTGTAGTAGCCCATGTCTTCATTGTCGAGCCTAAACCATGGAGCTCTTAGTAGCCTCTAAGGTGAATCATCATCATTGCCACACTTGACCCTCATTGAGACCTCGAGCAATACACGTTTTTGATGTATATCAGCTGATACATGTGTGTCCTGTTTGTAAGGATGAGCGATGTGGTGCATAAAAGAATGAAGACGTTTTGGCTCTGGCCTAACCTTTTGTACGCCATGTTTAAAGAAGGAAGGGAGCACAAAAGGACCCTACAGATCTTACATAATTTTACCAACAAGGTAAGTCCTCGATTTTTATTTATTTATTGTGGTCAAACATACATAACAAAATTTATAATTATAGCTGTTTTAAGTGGCATTAAGGGCCTTAACAACATTGTGTAATCATCCCACTATCACTTTCTAAAACTTTTATAAGTGTATGATCTCTGTGTTTTGTTAACATACTCAGTGTAGGACCAAGGGGCCGGTGTCTCATAAAATAAAATTTGAATAACAATGGGGGGAAAAGCAGGTGGCATGATTACCTTTAAATTAGTTATTCACCAAATATTAATTAAGCACTTACTAAGTGTCCAATACTGTGCCAAGTTTTAGAAATATAGCAGTTAATGTTCCCTACGGGGGGAGGTTGTCCATAAATAAATAATTACAAAATGTGATATGAGCTACGATTTTTTATTAAACAGGTGCTATGTTAAAAGAGTAAAGACACAATGATCCATGTTATAAAAGGCTTCTGGGAAATGTTTGGATTAGGCAGGGGTTTTCAAAGTCATAGGGCATTTATAACAGTATCTTAACTTGGAAAAGATGAAAATGAACTAGATATTAATGTTTAATTTTTAATGACAAGGAGATAGTAATGTCCTGGATAGAGGATGTCAGTCTTTGTGTTAAAAATGTTTATGAAAAGGCAACATTTAAATGAAAACATACATTAAATTATAATTTAAATGTACTGATAAAAGTGCCTAAGTAATTATATTTACTCTTTGCTGTAAATTTTGGTTTAAAATACATTGGCATTGCTTCCTGACAGTGAGGTACTGCCTACCGCCAGCAGACCAAATGGTTACCGAGTCTCTAGATGTTAGATGAGTGAGATGTTCGAGTGAGTTGCCTGAAGTGGAGTAGAGCATAATCACCTGGCAATAGGCGAATGGTGAACAGCTTGTATTTTATGCATATAATTACACTTGTCTTCAAATTTCATGCATTAACATCAGTATCAATAATGAATGAATTACAAATTGGGTGGACAATAGTATTCATTTTATACTATTGAAAATTGCATACTGAGCCCTAGGCACTAGGGAACGGTTCCACCAAGAGTAATTGAAGACATGGTGCTTGTCCTTAGAGAACTTGGGAGCTGTTCATTCAAACCACATAGTAGCAGGTTTGTACAATTGCCTGAAAGAAGAAAGGTGAAATGTGTAACCAAATTAAGCGTATGGGCTTTAATTCTTTTATTCATTCAACAAATATCTAATGAATATTCTTAAAATACCAGGCGGTGTTCTAAAGGTTGGAAATATATCAATAAATAAAGACAAATTTGCTGCTACATTGAAGTTGGAGGAGAAAGACACTAACTAGCAGATATAATGTCAGGTGGTTAGTGCAATGGAAAAAAATAAAGTAGGCTTAGAAAGATAGTGAGTGCTCGGGACTAGACTAGCAGTGACCAGAGAAGGTCTTTCTGATAGTGGGACAATGGCCAACAGAGACCTAAAAGGAGGGAGTAAGATAGTCATGCTGGTGTCTGAGGCAAGGGCATTCTAGGCAGAGGGAGCAGCAAGCGTCCAGGGAGATTCTTTTCTCCAAAGCAACACGTAGAGTGATCTATAATTAGTCTATTATATAACCATTGTGTTCTCTCCAACGCCCAAATGTTTTCTCCTGAGCTCATTCCAGTCTCCAGGGCCCTATTTAGTAGGTTACTACTGTATTCCCATGTTGGAAAGGCTGCAAAAATAGCCCTTGGAAATTATGTATTTGTCTGACATTAAATTTGTTTTTAAAAGTCTTATCAAATAGTGCCCTAAAAATGTTAACAGAAAGCTTTACTGTATTTTCACAAAAGCCTAAGTTATTGTTAAGTTAGAAAGAACAGGAAAGGTTTAGAAAAAAATTTGTTAAAGAAGGTAGTATATTTTCATAGGAAAATGTATAATTAGGTCATACAAAATTTCAAACAAAAGCATGTGATTATTTAAATCACTCAGGTCATCACCGAACGAGCCAATGAAATGAGAGATGAAGAAGGTAAAAGTGACGGCAGGGGCACGACAGTCCCCAACAGAAAACGCAAGGCTTTTCTCGACTTGCTTTTAAATGTGACTGATCATGAAGGGAACAAGCTAAGCCCCAAAGATATTCGAGAAGAAGTGGACACTTTCATGTTTGAGGTATTTATTTTGTGTTCTCATGTTAGTTTCAGCTTTCTTTAAACAAATGACAGTTCCTGTTACACAAAAAGCAGGGGCTGTTTCTGGTTTTTAAAAACCTTTGGAGTTTAAAATACTAAGGACAAATAAAGAGCAAACGCTAATACTTAGACAAGTTCAAGTATTTAACAGTAAACTTGGAAATAACACGGAATAGCAAGAATTATCTGTAGCCGCCTTTTAGAATATGTTGGGATTCTTGGTATAAGGGATTCTCTGTTCTCAACTGTTTTTTTTTAAAATTTTTAAAAATAAACAATTTACTCTCTCTGAAATCAATAAAGATATATTTAAAAATTGCAGAAAAATTCTCAACAATTCAACTTAGGAGCTAAAACAAGTGCTTCAGAGATTTCTGCCCAGAAAATGAAGTGTTACGCTGATCACTTGTGTTGCATATGGTAAATGGAAGAAAATGATCTGTAATATTATTTTTGACTTTCCAAATATATTTTTTTTCTGAAGAACTTGCCATTTTTGCATGTGGAATGTCCTGGTGAGGTGAGAATAGGAAATAGGAGCTGATGCTTACAGACACTGAATGGGCAGAGTAAGGCCTCCAGGGTGTCAGCATCAGTATTAGAGCTGGAGCCTCCTTGCCCCGGGTCCCCCCTGGTCCCCCGGGGAAGCCGCTGGACTCTGCTTTGTCCTCAGAGGCTCAAGGGTCCTGTTCTCACCTCCGCCTCCGCCTCCTGTGAGGCTGTGTGGCCCTGGGAAAGTCACGGAGCGTCATTTTGGGTCTCAGTTTGTCGTCTCTAAAGTGTGAATAGCAGTATCAAGTATTTCATGGAGTTTTTGTGAAGAATAATTGAGTTAGTTTCTGCAGAGTGTGTAGTGTTTTACCTAAAACTCAGCAAGGTTTAAGTAAGGCTATTTATCAACTTCTTGGTATGGAGACTATCAATCAGAACCACGCATGTGCTCCCCTGTGTCCAGCAACAACAGGCAGAACCATGACAAATGGGGGAAAGTGGAGAAGTACAGGTCTGGCAGCTTGGCTCAGGAAAGTCAGACTTTTATTTCCTTAAAAACAGCCCAGTGCACGGGGTTCCCTCGGAACGCCTCTTACTAGCCCAGCCTAGCCCAGGCATGCGACTCTGTAGCACTGAAATGTCCCTCGAAGCAGAGGCGTCCACTTCAAAGGGATTGTGTCATGGGTTTGTTTCTCACCAAGGTAAAATACTGTACAAAATTAACTTGTTCTGTTCCGGGGTCATATGACAGCTGTCAAATCCAGAGACAATTTGCAATAGAGTTAGCATCCCCGACTCTCAATAGAACTCTGCTTTTTAAACTGTTTTTCCCCCCTTACATTTGTAGGGCCATGATACAACCGCAGCAGCAATAAACTGGGCCTTATATCTACTGGGTTCCTATCCAGAAGTCCAGAAAAAATTGGACAATGAACTGGACGAAGTGTTCGGTATGTGTGGCCCCTTCACTAGTTGCCCTGTAGGTCCCAAGTCACTGAAGCGAATGTCATCCTTGCTTGCTATGAATGTGCAATAGAACCTGTTCTAAAGACACTATAGTAACCAGAAAGGGTACCATATGGGATCCCTTCCAGGGCCAGCCTTCTTTGCAAGGCCTCATCCAGTCGTTATGGGCATTGGCTGAGTGTCTGGAGTGTGACAGCAGCCGGCTAGATGCTAGATAAATGTTCCTGTCCTCGAGGATCTCACGGCTTCACAGCTGAAGCACATGCTATATATAAACCAGCAAGTCTTGGCTTCGTGCTCGAGTGATACGGAGAAGGTGCTGTTGCAGAGAGGGGCAGGTGAAACTAGTTAGAGGGATCAAGGACAGTTGTGTGATACGGGATGACTTTGGGCCACAGGTGAGAGAAAATGTGGGGTGAGCTGATGGGACATGCATTTCTTTTGTGCAACCAGAGTCCTAGGCTGAAGCCAGTAGGGATGTCGTGAGAGTCCCGGTCTTGCTCTCTTCTCTCTCTGTCGTTTTCACCATCACGGTTTTTGTTTCCTTGACTGTTGTCCCGGGTCTCATGTTGATCTTTAAAGCAAGAAGGAAGGATGAAGGATACGTTAGCCTCCTTTGCTGCTGTCACAGGTTCTACCAACGGGGTGGCTTGAAACAACGGAAATGTATTCTCTCATAGTTCTGGGCACCAGAAGTCCCAAATCAGTATCTCTGAGTTAAATCAATGTGTTGGCAGGGAGCTGTGCTCTTTCTGGAAGCCCCAGGGGAGAATCCATTTCTTCTGGTGGCTGCCAGCGTTCCTTGGCTTGTGGCTGCATCCCCCAGATCTCTGTCTCCATCTTCACGTCACCTTCCCTTCTGGGGGTCCGTGTTAACTCTCCCTCTGCTCTCTCTAACGACGCTTGGGATGGCATTCGTGGCCCACCTGGATAATCCACGGTTGTCTCTCCATTTTAAGATATTTAACTTAATAAAATCTCCCAAAGCGCTTTTTCCCAAATAAGGTAATATTTACAGGTTCCAGGGATTAGGACCTGATATATTTGGTATTTAACATTCAGTGTACTGATTAATGTATTCTTTTTTGATGTTTTATCCCCAAGCCCAAATATTTCTTTTATTTCTTTCATGTATTTCCTTTAATCAGGGAAGTCTGATCATCCTGCTACCTTAGAAGACCTGAAGAAACTAAAATACCTGGAGTGTGTTATTAAGGAGACCCTTCGTCTTTTTCCTTCTGTTCCTTTGATTGGCCGTGATATTAATGAAGATTGTGAAATTCGTAAGAATTCTTTCATTAAAGTAGTGGGGAGAGTGGGTTTCTCAGTGTCCGCCTTGCTCTGTTCTCATGGTGTATCGACTGCCTCCCGACAGTGGGCTACAACATCGTGAAAGGCTGTCAGGCACTCCTCATTCCCTACGCGCTGCACAGGGACCCAAGGTACTTTCCAGATCCGGAGGAATTCAAGCCAGAGCGGTTCTTTCCCGAGAATTCCGTAGGACACCATCCATACACATACGTGCCCTTCTCTGCTGGACCCAGAAACTGTATAGGTTTGTATCCATCAGAATTGCTTTGACCTTTCAGGCGTACATGGTGGTGGGTTTCTCGCCATAATTTCTTTGAGACGCAGTGTCTCATAAACAAGTCTTTTAAAAAACTAGTTTTATTTTTTCTGCACTTGGACTGTCTTAAAGTATACCAGTTTTCTAGGGCTGCTGTAACAAAGTACCACAGACTGGGTGGCCTAAACAATGGAATTTTATTTTCTCACAGTTCTGAAGGCCGGAAGTCCAAGATTAAGGTGTCAGCAGGGCTGGTTTCTTCTGAGGCCTCTCTCCTTGGCTTATAGCTGGAGGTCTTCTCCCTATGTCTCCACATAGTTTTTTCCTCTGTGTGTGTGTGTCAATGCTCACCCAAGGATATGTTTTTGTTGATTTTTAGAGAGAGAGAGGGAGAGAGAAACATCGATGTGAAACATTGCTGGTTGCCTCCTGTACACTCCCCAGCTGGGAAGTGTACCCTCAACTTTTTGGTGCCTGGGACAGCACACCAACCGAGCTACCTGGCCAGGGCTTGAGGTCTTCTTTTTATACAGACTCCAGTCAGATTGGATTAGGACCCACCCATATGACCTCATTTTAATCTAATCACCTCTTCAAAGGCCTTGTCTCCAAATGCAGTCACATTCTGAGGTACTGAGGGTTAAGAATTCTGCATATGAATTTTGGGGGAACACCATTCAGCCCACAACATAAAGCATAATCAGTTTCATGGCAGAGTTTTAAAATGTCGTAGATTTTGGATTGAAGTAGAATATACTTTTTGTGGTAGAAAGCTTATGTATAACAACTAGTTCATTTAACCTGGGTTTACTGCTTTTAAGAATTGCTTTTTTCAAAACCAAAACAAAGGATACTTAGTAGGACCAGCTGAAGTACTTAAACGAAATGAATGCACACCACTGTGCATTGTAAACACTCTTGGCTTTAGTATCTCTGGCATTTCATTGTTTATGTAAATGCAGACATTGGTGACATGAGGCCTGGTAACTATAGTAAATTACATTAAAGGCCCAGCAGAAAAGCATTCTAGAGAAGTGGTTCTCACAGTTCAATGAGCCCAGGATTCGTCTGGGGTGCTGCAGAAATACAGAGTCCTGGCCTACACAGCTATTCAGATGCACTGGGTAGGAGCAGGGAAGGGCACTCAAGAATCTCCATTTTTAGGAACCATCCCGAGTAATACTGATTCCCCCAGGGCCTGTTGGAAAGAAAAAAAAATCTAACATATTAGCTTCCTCTAATAGACCCTGCTCTTTCTCACATTTGAGATATAATTAAAGTGCTATTATTTACATTCATTTGAAGGTCAAAGGTTTGCCATGATGGAAGAAAAGGCTGTTCTTTCCTGCATCCTGAGGCATTTTTGGGTAGAATCCAACCAGAAAAGAGAAGATCTTGGTCTGGCAGGAGAGCTGATTCTTCGTCCAAGTAACGGCATCTGGATCAAGTTGAAGAAGAGAAATGCAGATGAACCATAACTCTGTTGTCAGGCTGTGCCCTTATCGTGAATTAGGTCTTTCTTTAAGGGAAGTTTCACATTTACAATTTGTAGATCATTAATTCAATACTCTTAACCCCCAGACCTGATTTTTTCTTGTCTTCAGTTACCTTGGGGTCAAGTCTTCCAAAGAGAGTTTTTTATATTTTCATCACCACCATTATCTTACCCCGGGTTTTGATCCCAAAAGGAGAGTTAACTGATGTCCGTACCCAAATAAACATACAAGTTTCTCAACAGAGGGATCCATAGGCCAATTCAGGTTCAGTTGACAGACTCAAAGGATATAAATTAATTGAGGTTCTAGAATTTTTCAAGGTATTCTTGTCAACTCAGCAATACAAATATACATGTGTCCATACACATTTAATTTGAAAAGGGTGAGTAAGTACTTAGACTTGATCTGAAGTTTTAAAAATTGTATCAGTGGCATCAATTATGAGAATTGTTGTGGTGATACTTTTCAGATTTTATCAAGGACAGTTCATCACTTATAACTTGACTTATAGGGTCTGTTCCTGTTTCCCTTTTAACCTTGTACTTATGGCCTTCGTTTCATTTCATTCTACATAACATCACAACTACCTTTACCCATCAGATGTTATGGGGAGAGATTCCTCTTGCTAATCTCCAATCCCGCACAGTGCCCCATAAGGTTGATTAATGGCTTTTGGAGCTGGAAGCACCTTAGACCTTACCTAGTTATACTCCTTTCCATTAGAAGTAATGGGATAAGATAAATGAGAGGTAAGTTTCTGTCCAAACAGAAATACTGGTGGGTGACAGGGCTGGAAATAGAAGTCTAGACTCACACTCAACTCCAGGCATAATACACTTCTACAATATGCTATTGTTTTAGGAACCTCAGGTCTATAACTGGATGTGTCATTAGAAAGCAGATCTAGAATTCTTTCATCATTACGGAAAAGAGAAGCCGTGGCTGTATATTTACTAACTAAGCATTGCCTCACTTAAAGGTTAAACTTGCAGGAAATTCAGTCCTCCAGAATATGCCTGTCAGGCTGGTCACTGACACACATTCCCTGGATTTTAATCCCATTGACAATATCTCTACTCCCTCGCTCAGTGACTTTAAAAAACTTCTTTTAATAAATAACTTTAATGAGATTTTCTTTTTATTGATTTTAGAGAGAGGGAAGGAGTGAGAGAGAGGGAAGCATCGATGTGAGAGAGAGACATCGATCAGTTGCTTCACCTCTGTGCCCTGACCTGGAATTGAACCCTCCACCTTCCAGTGCAGGGGACAGTGCTCCAACCAACTGAGCCACACTGGCCAGGGCAAATTGTGTTTCTTTAGTTTTCTGAAGACAATAGCAGGTAGAAGCAACAAATTAAGAGAATAGAATATATATTCTTTAATGGAGATCAGAGGAAGAGGTGCCTAAGCCAAAGCCATTTGGCAAGCATTACAGGCTGGGGCATTCAGGGCAGAGTCGACAGCTCTGCCCACTTCCCAAAAAGCCCCAGTGCAGACACATCAGTCCCTATGTTGTTGAGAAAAAGTCAAGGAAGTACATGATACAGCTGAAATAATTCCCATGATATGGTAAGCTGTGTTATCCAGAAAGTGGATGTATGTTGAAAATTTGTTCCTGGGAATTGGTATTACTTCTCAATTTTATGCACTTACATTTAAACCTTACTTTTTTATTTTTGTTTTTTAGTGACCCTGCCCTAGACACAAAGTTAAATTTAAGATAAAACATTGCTTCATGTTACCTCTTGGCCTAAAACCTTCATTTGGCCCCAGAATAATCTATTCATATTTTAATTAGAAATTCACTTAAACTGTCAGAGTTGGAATGGAGAAAGTATGTCATGGTCTGTCAAATCAAAAGGAAGATGCTGACTTTTTTAAAAATAAGAGGATGGTCACATATTTGTTCGTGTCTGTATTATCCATCATTCTCCCGCTCGAGTGAGGTATCTTAAGAGAAATAAATTATATTTTAAACATGGGTGCTACATTTTCTAAGAATTGATGTCACTTTGAAATATAGATAACTTTAGAAGGTAAATTAGTGGGTGGCTGATTCATAATAACAAAAGAAACAGCACATTTGAGGTAATGTCTTCCGTGTCACTCAGGCTTCCTAACAAAATGATCCTTGTGCGGTTATCATAGACTGGTTTCCAGTTTCCCTGATTCTTAAACTAGAGTAGAAATACCAGAACATTGCTTAGCTGACAGCAGAAAGTGAAATCTCTTAGGACTACCTGGGAATCAGCAAAACCCACAAGCATCCATTGGGTACTCAGGGATTTATCATCTAGAAAACTTAGTTTCTGGACCAACTACTGTCTCACAAATAAAGAGATTCTGGTCTCAAAGAGATCAGTTTTTACCTTGGACTGTATTTCTTTCCAGCACCTAATGATATGCTAGG